GAATAAGGAACAAATCTCAGAAGTGAAAAGAAAGCCATTACAATAAGAGTAATAATAGCCATCAATAAAGTATCCCACTATTAGACTGGACACATCTGAAAGGAGAGGACTGATGATTTGGAGATAGCAATGAGCAGCTCCCAGCCTGAAGCTCGGGAGGCTGTGGTAATGGAAGGTGAAATGAGAGGTCCACATCCAATGGGAGTTGCACAAGAGAACGGGGACACTAGAAAACAGGTGATATTTAACTATATTAAATTTGAACATGCTTGTGTAAGAATTAAAGAAATAAATGACTAATTTTTTTGGAAATGAAGAAACAAGACTTGAATTGAAAAATCTCACTGATCAGCAAGAAATGACAAATAAATCTATGTCCGAAAACTGGCAAAACTGCAGAGCATTAAGCATTAAAGGAAAGTATAATCTAATGCAGATAGGCTACATGCAAAGAAACAACGAACTAACAAGGGAACTTTCATTAGCAATAGATGTCAGAAGACAATGGCGTCAACACAAAATGCGGAGGGAAAATAGTCACCCAGAGTTTTATAACCAGCCAAACTCTCTAAATAGTGCTGGTAATATAATGCATTAAAAACTACAGTATGGCGACCGGGCATGGTGGCATATGCCTGTAATCCCAGCTCTGGGGAAGCTGAAAATAAGAGGGTCACTACAATTTGGAACTGCATAGTGAGACCTGTAACAAATATACTTTTTTTAAAACTGGGGCTGGGGAGATGGCTCAGTAAAATAAGCGCTTCCCTGGCAAGCGCAAGGGCCTGAGTTCAATCCCTGGTTCCACAATAAATAAATAAATAAATAAAATTTAAAAACTATAGTATATAAGTATTAGGGACTTGGCCTAGCCCTTATCTCCTAAAATGAGCTACAGCAAAGGCTTAAGAAAAAAGAGACAAGTGGTATGGTTTGGGGAAATTCAGAAAGATCAGAATTCTCTGGGAGTAAAGACCACAATTTTCAGATCACCTTGTTTATTAGGTTTTCCCATATTTGGGGGTGCAGGATGAGAGGGCACACCAGAGGCAAAAGCCTATGAAAAGTCAATAGTCAGCTGGCTCCAAATTAGGGTAGTAGGCAGGAAGCAGCAAGCCGCAGCAGCAGGCCTGCACTCCATGCAGGCTGTAAACCTGGAGATTGCTGCCACCCCTACCCAAGGTGGGGCTCCCACTGGCTACCTCCTTAATCCCACTATCACACCCTTAATTCACATTCACACACCCTAATCCAGCCACCTCTGAAACTTCCTACCTATGACTGCATCGGGTTTTCGGCAGACATCTAGATCTAAGCCATACCAGGGCTTTTTCTAAACTTTTACTGGATTGGTATCTTTTATTACTTTAACTGCACAATTATCTTTTCAAGAAGGCCTCCCCTATTCATCAGGTTATTTATAAGTATTGGTAGTGGTGCTGGCCCCAAAATTGAATAGTGCAACCACCTGCATCTCTCACTGAGTCAGGTGCTTGGTCTGTCACTAAAGTGAGAAATGCTGAGCAGAGTATTTCCTTAAACACCTTGTAACTTTCGCTTAAAGCTTCCTCTTTTAAACACAAGAGCAGGAACAAGATTTGGGGGCTTGGTTTAACCAGCAAAGACATTAACTAAAACCAAGACTTTTTAAAAAAGGTTTAGCACAGGGTCTCACTACACAGATCCAACTGGTAGTGATCTTCCTGTCTTCAGCCTTCCAAGGGCTGGGATTACAAGCAGGCAGCATCACACCCAATCTCAGGCGCCATCTCAGCGCATCTTTGGGGCGGGCCGGCACCGAAATCGAACCCCGGCCCCAGCGTCTGCCTAAGAGGTGCTTTAATCCACTGAGCTATCTGGCCGATCTCTTTCTTGGGATTTTTATAAAACAAAACCTTGAGGTGAGGCGGGTCTAAGTTTGAAAACATGGGATAGCGGTAGGTGGGCATGTGGACCAAAACTATAGTCAACCAGTAAGATTACAAGCACAATTGCTCAGATAAAATGTATTAAATCGGGATCAAATAGGGAAGCGAGTCATGTACCAAGTGGACATGAATACCAAACAGGAGCTTTCCCGTAGGGGGCTGGTTAGTGACTCTTGCTGGCTTCCTCAAGGTGTTAGGGACCTGTTAAAACTATCAATCCCGGATGTTTACCTTTGGTGGGGGGGGATAAGCATTTGCTTGATCTTTTGTCTTGAGGGCTGGCCCACAGCGGGAAGGTGTCTGTCTCCTACAACGATGTCAATATCTACACTGAACAGACCTTGCTGCTGGATCTTTAATTTGTATTTTTAATGTTTTATGAGCACCTCATTGCAGCACATGAGAACTGTACTGACCGTGGGAACGGGTACACGCATGCACACAACGTCTTCATTCTTCTCGCGTTCTTTACTCCTCTCCTCCCTCCCTCCATCTCTTGGACCTTTCAACATTTGCAAAAGACCTAGCTACCTGCCTACTGTGGATCTACAGTCTGCATTATCGTCCAGAGGGACCAGACCCGCTGCCGAAGGTTGAAGGGTTGCCGCCAGCCTCCAGCCTCGCAGCACCCAGCGCTAAGCAGTTGCAGCTGCCTGGGGAGGGGCGGGGAGGAGACGGATGGACCGAAGATGGAGAGAAAGAGGGAGGGAAAGGGAGGAAAAAAGGAAGGGGAAGGGAGGAGGAAGAGAGGGGGAGGGGAGCCGGTGCCCCTCCCACTCCACGGGACACCAGGCTGCTGGACTGCGGAGCTGCGGGGGCGGACCCGTATCCCCCCTACCCCCCGCTGGGTGCAGTCTCAGCAGGGTCTCTTGAAGACATCCTAGGGTCCCGGCGGCCACGCCCCGCCGGCAACCCGCGATCTCCTTCCCTGCGACCTCTGCAGTGTGCGAACAGGGTAAATAGTCGGGCGAGTGTCGCCTCGGGGAGGGCCGGGGCGGGCGGATTCCTTCTTAGGCTCCACCTCTTCTCGGCCTCAGGACGGCTCCTCGGGCCCCACCCCGCCCCATCCCATCCCACCCTATCCCACCCCATCCAGGGTCCTCCGGCCTCATGCTACAGAGTTCCGGTCTACAGCCCGCGGGACCCGACTTCAGGGCGCCGCCTGCAGGAGCCGGCCTGGTCCCGGGGACTGGTTTGGTCCCTGAGCCACGAGGGCCTCGCTGAGTGCTGCTCAGCTCACCTCAAAGGCAACTGTGGCCACAGACACCCGACCCTCAGCTCCTGCGGCGCCAAGTGGATCCGCACCGACTCAGCCCAGCTCCTTCGCTGGCCTTTGTTGTAACTCAAAAATGAGGCAGGCTGGAAAAGATAAGAAGCGCTTTGTTTTAGCTGGTACCCAGCGGCGACCACCTCGGCACGACGCTGAGGTGCGCCCCGGGAGAATGAGGGGAGCGGATATTTAAACCGACAAA